CTGTGGGGCGTGGGCGCGGGGGCTCCCCGAGTGGAAGAGGGGCCCGGCTCGGGTCCCCGACCCCGCTCTGAGAACCCCAAGGAGGCTGCAGAGGAGAGACAGAGCAGGGCCAGTGCTCGGGTAGGCGGCCGGAGCAGCCCGGCCCAGGGAGGCGCGGGCGGGGCGCAGTGGAGGTGGGGGTCTCACCCGGCTCTGGGAGCCTCTGTAGGGCCTTGGGCAGAGGCAGGACTGTAAAGCTCCAGTGACTGGCCTCCTTCCCAGCCTCCTTCCGGGCTAGTTCCTGGGCCAGGAAGTCGATCTCCTCTTCCAGTCTGGGCTGGGGCCGGCTCTCCCCTGGAGAGGGTGAGGCCGTGAGGTGGAGAGGCCCCCATCCCCCTACAGACGATGCAGCTGCAGGTGGCGGCTCAGGACAGAGGGGTCCACCCAGGAGGCAGCCCACCGCTGGACGCCTTCCTCCTTGCGGGCTCCTCCCAGGCAGGGTGGCCTGAGGCCTGGGTGCCAGCTTGGAGGCCCGCTCCATCCTGGGTTGCCATGGTGACAGCGAGGGAGCTTCCTGTACACGCAGCGGCTCCCAGGAAAAGTGGGGGCGGGGGCAAGGGGGCGGAGGTGGGAGAATGTGCAAAGCCCAGGCAGGAGGAGGGAGTGGGGTCCCTCACCCAGCCACGGTCCCTAAGGGATGGGCAGAGCCTCGGACAGCATCCCCCAAGCACCTTCTCTGTCCAGTGGGGGCAGTGACTCCCAAGGTGTGGGAAGCGGCCAAGGCGAGCCTAAGGGTCTGGGCCTCCAGCTCCCGTCGTCAGCAGAAGGGGGTGGCTGCTGGGGGCGGGGTGGTGGCTGGGCCCCACCAGTACCCACCGTGGGCTCCACAGCCCACACAAGCTCTCAGGGGGACGCCCACACCCGACAGCAAAAGAGGGTGGCTCTTCCACTGCGACCCCTGCTAGCTCAGTGACCCCTCTCCAGGGCCCTCGTGGGCCCCTGCTGGCCACAGCCCCGGCATCTCTTCATAAAGCCCCAGCACCCCGCAGTCACTCCGCAGCCAGCATCCGGACAGACACGCGGCTCGGGCTGGCAGGTGGGGCACCCCCTTTCCCAGCAGAGTGGGTGCTCCTGCACAGGCGCCATCAAGTGGACAGGGCCCGTGTGTGATGGAAAGAGCGGGCGCCGGGGTGGGAGGTGGGAGTGGGTGCTGAGAGGGGTCTGGGTAGACCCTGAGGGTCCAGGCCCAGGAGCACGGACCCTCCCCTCACATGGCCACCCCGGCACTTCCCACTGGACACCCCTTCCCTGGAGGGGACCAGCTGCCCAGGCCTTGGTTCAGCTCCCAGCTCGGGGCTGGCCCCCTCTGGAAGGTATCAGGAGGCTGCTTGGGGAGGCACACGGGTCCTCCAGGCCTTGGACCCAAGTTCCCACCAAGTTCGGGGGTCTCGGAGACCCCTGGCACAGGGCTGGGCACTGAGGCCTGGGGCTTCTGAGGGAGGGAGCACACAGAGGAGAAAGGGTGTCCGCTGAGACTCCCCGCTCCGTGCCGTCTCATACCTGGAGGCCGCCGCATCCTGGGTACGCAGAGCCCTTGCAGGTCCTCCTGGAAGGGCTGAAGGCAGGGCCCGCAGGCGTGCGCCCCGGGGGGACACCTGGCCCGCCTCTTCAGGGCACAGTCCAGGCTCCTGGGACAGGTGGCCACATCTGGGGAGGAAGCAGAGGCAGAAGGCAGGGCTAGCTCGCGACCCTGCACGGCTCGGCCCAGCAAGGGCCAGCTTGGTCCCGGCCACCCTCCTCCTCCCCACCTTCCAGCCAGGCCAAGCCCCGGCCATTGTTCTGGACAGGCCTTTCCTCCCTGCTGCCCAGGGCTGAAAACCAGGAAGCAAACAGTCCCAGGACTTATGGGAACCACCCAGCTCCACCCACTCTCCAGGGTGCCCCTTCCAAGCCAGACCCAGCTCTTGGCAGACACGCACGTTCCAGCACCCTGAGCTCTCCAAGGCAGCCCTGAGTCCAGCCTCGGGCCCCAACAGGCCCCAGAGTGAGCCTGGACCCTCTGTCCAGACTGTGCCATGGAGGGTAGGGCACAGGTCTCTCGGGAGCAGCAAGGGATGCTGCCTAAACCCCTCTCCAGCACACCAGCACACCAGGGCTCCCCGGACGTCCCCCAGAACAAGTGCCCAGCCCAGTCACTGTCCCTTCCTAGCTTCTGGCCTGTCCACAGGGGACAGAAGATGGAGTCTCTCACGTGGTTCAGACACAGAACTGTCACTCGCC